ACCAAGCTGCCTGGCCCAGTTCCCCTGCCGAGACCCCCACCCCCTCTCCCTCATGCAGAACGCGCCGGGCCGCTGCGTTCGGCTCTGACTCTGGCTGCAGCCTGAGGAGACTGCAAGGCACGATGGCTGTGCCAGCCTGCGCCCCTACGCTGCCGCGTTTCTTGGGACGGCCCTGCCGGGGTACCTGATGCTGTACAGCACGTTGCCGTTCTTGAAGATGCGCAGCAGCTTGTTGTCGGTGGTGACCTCGTGGAAGTTGGCCCCTTTCTCGTTGGCAAAGAACAAATCGGGCTTCCAGATGGAGTCCAGCATGGAGGGGTCCAGGTCCAGTGAGTCGTCCGGGTATTCCCTGTAGGCCAGGCGGGGGTCGTTCCACTGCTGGCGCAGGAAGACGTTCACCCGGTAATCCTAGGGAAGAGGCACCCATCACTACCAGCGGGGGAAGGGGATAGTCCCTGTTGTCAAGCACCCACTGTGCCTTGAGGGGCTCGGATCGGGTACGACAAGTGGGGCGGGAGAGCCAGGGCCAGGTTCCTGGGGAAGAGCAGCCAACTCCTGCCTCCGCTCGGGGGCAGAGAAGAGTCCTTGGGAAGGGACGGCTGAGAAGGAGCAGCGTGTGGCAGGTGTCCTGGCGTCCTGGCAAAGTCAGACGTTTGAAACTGTCTAGACCTCTCACTAGGGTTATCAGGGGCTGTGTCCTGGCTCCACAGAGGATGCCAGTCAGGGGGACTAATGCAAATCCCCAGTTAGGGAACAGCATGCCGGTAACGAGTTCCCTTGTAGCTGGGAAGAGGGGTTCTGGCAGACAAAGCACTTGGACCCAGAAAGGGACAGCCCGGATCTTGGGCTCTCCTTCAGGCCAAGATCTGGCTGGAGTCTGTGACCCGAGACAGGCCTCTGGGGTTGTTTCAAACCTGCCAGGGTCTTCCTGGGGAAGTTGGGTGACCACATGGTAAGCCAGGCCTGGGCACAAACTGTCTAGTGTTTTACAGACTTGTCTGTGAAATGCCCTTTCCCTCCTACAATACGCACGTCACGGCTGTTGGCACTTACTGTAAATTCACCACTGTCCTAGAAACACACACACACACACACCCCAACTGTAAATTCACCACTGTCCTAGAAACACACACACACACACACCCCAACTGTAAATTCACCACTGTCCTAGAAACACACACACACACACACCCCAACTGTAAATTCACCACTGTCCTTCACCACTGTCCTAGCCAACTGTAAATTCACCACTGTCCTAGAAACACACACACACACACACCCCAACTGTAAATTCACCACTGTCCTAGAAACACACACACACACACACCCCAACTGTAAATTCACCACTGTCCTAGAAACACACACACCAACTGCAAACAGGTCACAGTTCCTCTGCCAGCTGCACCCCTGAAATCCCATCCTCCTGTTGCTGCGAGGGCATGGGCTGGCCATGGGTGGGATGAGCCAGTCCTTCCAGCTAGGACCTAGCCTGCAGCCTCTGTGACTTTAAATCTCACAGCTGTGCCTTCAGTTCAGCCCTGTTCTCTCAGGGTCGCACACCAGGCTCCCCAGAAGCAAAGTCTGTCTGCCCTGACCAGCAGCAGGGCTTCCCCCGCCATCCCAGTGCCACCTGCTGCGAGTCCCATGGGTTGCACGGGCTCCTCTTCAGCGTGCGTGTGTGGAGACGGCAGCGCGAATGGCTGCACAGGCTGAGGTGCAGAGAGGGAGCTTGACACAACAGACCAAACCCCCCAGCGCTGACCCGGCAGGCTCTGGATTTTGGGGGGGTCTGACTCACGGTTGTAGGACCCTGGCGGCTGGCCCTGCTGCGTGAGGTTCATCCCCCGCTGCAGGCGGAGGGGCCCTCTGGCAGGAGCGTACTGGCAATCAAAATAGGTCTGGGAAATGGGTTGAGAACGGCCCTCCCCGTGATGTCACCCCTGCGTGCCCCTCAAGCCCTGCCCCTTGCGTCACGTCCGGCACAGTTCGGGCTCTGCGTGCCACATACAGCGCGGACGCGGAGCCGCTCGGCGTGAGAGGCAATGGCGTGCGGACACGACGGCCCACCAGGCGACGGCCCACTGGGAAATTCCTGGTATCCCGCCGGGCCGGTCCACCCCTGCCCTCCGGCCCTCAATGGCCAGGCACAACCGTGGCTTTTCAGTTCAGTCTCGTCTAAAAGATTCTGCTTGCTGAGCCTCAGGGGGCTGCCCAGCTGGGGAAGGCAGCGTGGGTATTGGCAGGGCATCGTTGCTCCTCACGGGCAGGCTGGATGCACAGTGCCAGGCAGGGCTGCCCAAAATCTCCTCAGAGAAGTTTGGAACTCCAGCACTAGAGGTGGGTCTGACCTCACATCTCATGGAGTTTGCCCCTTCCTGGGACCTGGGGCCATTACAGAAAGCAGGGCCAAATTCCCAGCCCTTGATGGGAGGCACCACCCCCGGCTGTCCCTTCTGAGGGAGTGGAAAGGGCAGGGAAGGAGGGTGGGACAGGCGGCGAAGTCTTACCATGGTGGTTTCTGTGACGGAGCCAAAGCTGTTGATGAAGATGTTGCATGTCACGTTGACAGGCGGCCCTGAAAGACAGCCAGAGAAGGTGAGCCCAGCTTACAGCCGCTGGTCTGAGGGGAAGAGACGATGTAAACTGATCTATTGCTACCCGTCTGCATCCCACCGTCACTCACCCCAATAAACGCCCATGCACAGACCCACAGGTTTTGCCTGGATAGTGTGACGTAGTGGGGGGGGGCTGTCTGCTCTGTAACCCGGTGCCCCCCTGCGCTGTGATGTGAGATTCCCACTGACTCACCCACATGTCATGAGGTAGTGTCAGTGCCTTGCCGGTTGCTATGCTGTGGGCTGTGGATCACCCCCACTAGCCTCTGTCTGTGAGCACTGCCCAGCAGGTGGGCCGCCTAGGTCATGTAGACAAAGACCCAACCGGTCAGACCGGTTGAGGGCAGCGAGGGAACTAATGAAGTGTGTATGTGGGGGAAGGAGTTGTCTTGGGCTGGAACCGTGAAGGAAACAGAGTAAGGAGGGGTCTGGAATCTAAGGGCCCAAGCACCCCATCTCAAGCAGTCTGAGGCATCCTGGCCCAGACTCCTGTAGACACATGACGTCTGTGCCATGCTGTATCCTGGAGAAGCAATAACTCCCCTCTGTTCTACTGGCTGGTGGTCTCTGTTCTTGCTGCTACAGAGCTGCAGGATCGGAGGAACCCCGACTCGTCGTCACAGATAGATACTCACATAGATCATAGAATCATAGAATCATAGAATAATAGGACTGGAAGGGACCTCGAGAGGTCATCGAGTCCAGCCCCCTGCCCTCAAGGCAGGATCAAGCTCCGTCTACACCATCCCTGACAGATGTCTATCTAACCTGTTCTTAAATATCTCCAGAGAGGGAGATTCCACCACCTCCCTTGGCAATTTATTCCAATATTTGACCACCCTGACAGTTAGGAATTTTTTCCTAATGTCCAATCTAAACCTCCCTTGCTGCACTTTAAGCCCATTACTCCTTGTCCTGTCCTCAGAAACCAAGAGGAACAAATTTTCTCCTTCCTCCTTGTGACACCCTTTTAGATATTTGAAAACCGCTATCATGTCCCCCCTTAATCTTCTTTTTTCCAAACTAAACAAGCCCAGTTCATGAAGCCTGGCTTCATAGGTCATGTTCTCTAGACCTTTAATCATTCTTGTCGCTCTTCTCTGTACCCTTTCCAATTTCTTCACATCTTTCTTGAAATGTGGCGCCCAGAACTGGACACAGTCATACCCTCTCAGACAACCCCTTGCCTCCTGTGTATGTGTGTGCACACTCTCAATTCATGTGTAAATTAAAGGGGGTGGTGCATTCCAGACTCTCCCCACCCCCCATGGGTTCATTGACATGTATAAACTCTGAACCTGTGGGTTTCTCCACGGAATGGAGAAATGGCCCTGGGGGCAAAAATCTGTCTGGTTCTTCACGTTCTTGAAAACTTAGACAAAAGTGAGGCCACTGGGCTGGGAGTCAGGATCCCACAGTCGGGTGACTCTGCCACTGCCGTGTCATGTGACCTTGGGCAAGTCACTTCCCCTGTCTGGGCCTATTCTCCCCCTCCCTCTTTGTCTGGCCTCTCTACTTAAGCGGGGAGCTCTGTGGGGCAGGGGCCGTCTCTTGCTGTTTGCATGTACAGCTCCGAGCACAGCAGGGTACCGGGTAATACTGTAATCATACCCATGGAACGGGGCATTGGAAGGAGGCAGTGGGCAGCAGCAGGGCAGGGCAATGACAGAGTGGTGGTAGGGGAATCCCAAGGCTGGACTAGCAGGGGGACGCAGGTCAGGATGGAGGGGTGCCAGCAGAGTTCTGGCAGGCTCCCCCGGCAGGGCAATCGGGGGACAGCACACCTGTGTGAAGGGGCATAGGCAGGGATCCTGCCCCATTGTCCCCGGTTCTAGTCAGCACTGTCTGAGCAACTCTGGGGTTCCGCCTCTGTGGGGTTCTTAAGCCTTCTTGGTACCCCATTGTGTACCTTTGAAGTTGGGGCGAATCCGGGCGTCATACCCTGATGTTTTCCCCATGAGCTTGTCCAGGAAATCCGAGGGTGACATAGACTGGCCAGATTTCAGCTCCTCTTTACCTGAAACCAACCTGCAGACTCCCACCCCCCTCGTGGGCCAGGAATGCTTCCGCATGTGCCTCAGCGCTGCATGGAGGGCCAGGAAGCAGGAGCCTTCAAGGCATTGCTGTGCTGGAGCTCCCAGAGCCAGAGGCCTGTCTGGCACAGACAAGGCTCTGGAGTGAAGCTCTCATTCTGGCTGGCATGCCAGGGCACTGTTTTGAGGAAGCTCACAACCCACTGGCAGGGCTATTGTAAGCTCGAGGAAATGGACAAGCAGCTGGTCCCCCTGATCTCTGAGGTGCGTGCGGTGCATCTGAAATACATGCCCGGTGCTGAACAGGGCTGTGCAGCTGGGGAATTGGGGGTTCACTCCTAGCTGGAGCTGTTTTCTCCTCTTGCCTACCTCCCTGTGAGTGTCTGGCTGGGGTGGGGAGCTGCTGCAGCACAGCCCTCAGCCCAGCTGATACAGAACAAGCCGTGGGCCTCTGCAGTGCTGGATCTCACCCGGTACCGAAGCCATCCACTGTCTGTGTCTGCTTCCCTGCCTATGTCGGGGGCGGGCCCCTGCTGCTGGTGTGTGGTCACGTCTTGTGTCAGGCGGGGTACCCCTCGGGGTGCGCTGACTCTGACTCTCAGGTCAGTAGCTGGAGCTGGCTCTTGGCCTGAGAGCTTTAGCTCTGCGTGGGGGGGATCACAAGCTGAATGAGTCAACAGCGAAAGGCCACGAGGGAAAAGGCAAAGGCACTGAGGAGATCTCAGCTAGAGTCCTGCGCCCAGTTCTGGGGGCCACGCGGTAGGAAAGATGCAGACACATTAGAGTCCAGAGGCGAGCGATTAAACGAGAAGAGGGTTGGAAAACCTGTGACTGCAGGTTACAAAACCTGGGCACGTGTCCTTCTGAGAAGCCTGGGAAGGTGGGAAGGGCTCTTGTGAGGAGGCTGTTGCTGAATCGTTCCTGTCTAGGAAACTCTTTCTAACTGGAAAGCCAGGCAGCGGTACAGGTCTTCCGGGGGGGCGTCCAACCTCCAGTGGACACGTTTTAGGAACAAATGAAACCAGCTCCTGTCAGGGCAGGCCTAGCTTTAGTTGGCCAAGGGGCCGGACTGGAACCTTTCTCTAGGTGTGAAATCCAGCCTCCAGGGGAGTCCAGGGCAAAACTTCCACAGGGGTCGGAGGGTCCCCCTTCCATCCCCACTTTCCCAGAATCCGTATCCAGCATCTCTGCCACACTGACCCGCCTGCCCAGGCACGAGGGTGGGCCGGTTGACAGGAAAGCAGTAAATGCTCAGGAAGCCAGCCTGGCTGGCCATCTACCTAGACCATGTAGCTTGACACCAACAGGAGCCCAGCTCTGTGACCCTGGCTCAGCTGGAGTCCGGCGCCGTGGGCCCTCTCACCCCACAGGGCTGGGAATTGCCTCCCAAACCTGTGTGGGGGGATGTGGGCTGGTGCAGGGACTCTGCTGATTTGGCTGGGCCTGGAGCAGAGCAGGGAGAGGAGGCTGGGAGGTGGCACAGTCAGATCAATCAGGAGGGGAGGTGGTGCAGCAAAGGCCAGGGGCTGGGTCCAGCCCACTTGCAGCTGGGGCTTAGAGTGATCAGGGGCAGGGCGGGGGGTGGGGGAGATGAGGGGGATGGACAGGGGTGTGTCAACCTGTCTAGTTCTCAATCAATCCTCAGCTGGAAAACAGGGATTAGCTGGAGGGACGGGCTCTGCTGCTGCTGTCCCTGTGTTGTCCCTCTGAAGGAGGGAGGGAGGGTTACAGACCAGCTGGGTCTCATGTTCCCGCTAACTTTTTCCATCCATGTGTGGAATAAATGTTCTGTGCACCCAGGCATGTGCAGAGGTGCACCACCAATAGAAACACATGCTGCTGGCTGTAGGAGGCTGCGGGCGCTCTGCTAATCAGCCGGGCAGCATTTGATTCTCTCCTGGGCGGCCGCCCAAGAGCTCAGCTTTCAGTTCTGCAACAAGCAAATCCTTGGGAGCCAGGAAAGGAAGCATGACCGTTTGGTGGTCCCCCTGTACAGTACCTGGATTTGGCACCCCGGCGCTGGCCAGTCACTGGGAACGATCTGCCTGCATTCTGGGCCATGTGGGCTGGCTTGGAGCAGCCTGACAGAGCTGTGACTGGGATCTGGGGCCAGGCTGCTTGGGCAGGAGCGGGTGGGATCCAGAGCTGAGCCCCACCGCCCGGGGCTTGGCAGTTCATAGTCCTAGCGCCTCTGAGTTTGCCACATCCATTAGGAAAGTAAAAAATGTGCTTGAGCGTGGCACCTCTTCTGTTACAGATCACGCTCTGATACGACCCTGGAGGTGTGGCTGTCAGCAAGAGGCACCTGTGCCTAGAGGCCCAGTATGGCTAACTTCAGCACGGTGCGGCTGTGTCTGGGAGGGCACGTCTACACTAGGAAATGATTGTGAAGTCACAAAATCGAAATAGCGTGTCCCACGACAGGGGAGCCTCAACATTATCCGAGGCAGGCTCCGTGAATGTGGACACGGGGCCTTGACTTACTCCCCAGTGCTTCCTGGGGCTCGAATGACTTCCAGTGACTCCGGGGAGACGTTCTTCGGAAATAGCAGCAGCTGAGCATCCACACGGCCGCTGTTTGAAATGCGCGTTATTTCCCGAGGAAAGCAGGAGTGCAGATTTTGAAACAAGCAGCCCGTCAGTTTGAAATAAGGGGGGTTATTTCGAAACCACTCCCTAGTGTAGACCAGGGCCAACAGGACTCTGCTGCCCTCTCCATCAGACCTGGGAGGGCTGTGGGTTTAAGGAAGGGTCAAGGAAAGTGTGGTGTTATGGACTGTGTGCACGAGGGCAGAGGGTGGTAAAAGTTAGCAGAGGTGGGGGTCTCTGCGGAGTCGGGACGGTGTTTGAATGGAGCTCCACCGAGGTGCCTTGTTTGCAGGTGAGCTGGGGGTGTAGGAGGCAAAGCGGGTGGAGTAAAGGTTGAGTGGGTGTCTGCCTTAACTTTGCATTTCTTAGCTACTTGCTGTTTGAGTTTTGCTGAGCTCAGCACTCTGCAGGGGAGGGGATACCACTGAGCAGCCTGAGTTCTGCACCTACGAAGTCTGTCATCAGAAATGCCCTAGATTTGGTTTTCTCTTAACGAGCGTGTTTGTTTGCTAGTGATCAATGCGTGCAGCTGTAGTGATCCCGGACGCTTGCCGTTGACACTATTGTGACTAGGTGAAGAATGCTCTGATTCCTGTACACTATAATGTTGCGTGAAATTAATCATCAGCACCTGCTTTGCTAATCCCAATTGCCAGCGCAGGGTAACCCTGAACCGGGAACTTCTCAGCAAGGACACGGGGTGGCGGGAAGGCGGTGGCTCTGCACACCCAGCTGCAGGGGGTGGGGGTGAAGTGGCCCGGTCGTCTCAATAAGCTGTGCCCAGCGGAATGAGAACGCTGCAAAGGACGAGCGCAGAGAAGGGCCCCGAGGCAGCCTGCCTGTTTTGCTGTCGGGTTTCTGTGTGCTCCAGCGTACAGTGCTCTGTCTAGTGCAGACCCAGTGTGCCGTCTAGCAAACCTCTGGGCCCATCTGCCCCTGGGCTGGGTATCCCCTTGGCTCTCCAGTGCTGGGCGTGGGCCTATCTGCAGAGTCACTCTGCTGAATGGTGTTTTCAGGGGGGCCAGGCACTAGATGGGGTAAATATCGACCAGCGGAGACCACTGAGGGCATGACGAGAGGCGGGGCTTGGCCTCTTCCCCTCCCCCCACCTGTCTTCCAAAATGTAGGTAGGATCAGCCAACGTGAGGCTCTGCCTGTCGTTTGGGGGCCTGGATCTCAGGAACCTCTTGCCCAAAAGATGCCAAGTCTGGGCGATGAACCCACCATCTGCACCCAGGAGGCCCAGCCAATGCCAAGGCAAACCAAGTAAGTCAGGGGCTTTACAGCATGTGGAACGGCCCCTTTAACAGAAAACACGTCTCTGTTCATTATAGAAGAGTTGGTGCAGCCCCAGGACCAGTGCTGGGCTCCCTGACGCTCTGGTCTAGCCCAGTAACAGAGACTGATCTCCACCCCCGGGCTGTCCGGTAGTACCCTGCCTGAGGCTGGCTGATTAAACAGGCTGGGGGAGAGACGGAGGGGCTTTCCATTCCAAACTTCCTGCTCCTCTGTAAGGACTCAGACCAGCCCACTGTGCCATTCCAGTGTAACCTGCTGTCCAGGGCTGTAATCTCACCCATGGAGTGTAGTGGCTGGGGGCTTTTTGGGGGGTTAAGCTGCCGGTGAAGAATGAGATGCGCTGTGGGGGTCTAGGCCTGCAGTATCTGAGATGCTCTGGGCCTGCAGGGGGGTGCATGGCCACAGCATGGTGCTCTCCTGGAACTGGAATATCGTAGGGATGCTGAAGGGCAGAACCGCATTGGCTGGTCTGTGTGTGGCTGGAGAGCTAATACCCAGAGTGCTGCAGGACAAGACTTAGGTACATTTGCAGATCATTGTAGGGACTCCGAGTGGTGACTATCTAAGGGAAGTTGCACTCCCAAGTGGAAAAACATTGGCAGGCTTCTGGGAGCTGCAGGACCGAACAGCACGGGGTGAGCAATGCCCCCCTACCCCAGCACTGAAATCTTAGCAGACTCTGACATGCGTTACTTCCCTAGCTGTTTCTGTGGCTGATGGAGACTTTTAAACGGCTCTCAAAGAGTCTATTTTGATGAAGCTGCATGTGCCTGTCAGTTTCTCTCCCTCCCCCAGTCTGTAATGACCATGTGAAGGAACAAAACAAAAGGCCTGGGCTCAACACATGGCCGGGCATGCTGTACTGCACAAGAAATCACTTTAAAACTCTGGGCCCAAGGGAGCTCTGGCACTAGCTCTTAGCAATGCTGCAGCCTGGCTGGCTGGCCGGCCAGCTGAATGCCCACGTGGCCCCGCTGTCTCTCATCGGAGCGGCTCTTTTCACTTCCTAAGAGCAGTAAAATGCTGCATGCTGGGGCTCTGGGGAAATAAGTCAATTATCTCATAGCCCCACCCTAGGCAAGTGTGTCCCCTGCCTGGGCT